TTTCTCTGACTTGCTATGAATAGCAGCTGTACGTGAACCCCAAGATCCTGCCTTTGCACTGCAGGACCCGGCACTTGCTCTGCTAATTTGCTGTTGCTGGTGGCCTGCGCTCATCTGGTCAAACGTCCCAGGTCGTGAGTCAGAAGTCAGCAGAGATTGAGCTGGCAGTGATAGGGAAGCCATTCTGTAGCTCGAGCCTTAGTGGTGAGCAGAGGGCAGGAGTGCATGAGGGGTGGGGGAGGGGTCTTCGGTTCTGTCCTTGAAAGGCAATGAGGTCCACTCCAACCGTACTTCCTAAGAGGGTGAGCAAGTAGGACCATATCGGACGACTGTGTTCAGTGGATTCATCCACTTTGTCCTCCACATAGTCTGGGAGGCAGCCACCAGGGCACCAAGACTTATCTTTGTGGCCTTTACCTCCGACCCAATGGAGCCGTGTCAGACTCTCAAAAGGGTCCTGTGATGTAGAACTGTGAGTCCCAAGGACTCAAGGTCAGAAGCTTGATAAGGAATGCCAAGAGTTAAGAAACTGAAGAACAGGCTAGTGATGGAGACGTGGAGTCAGGTGACCCCACAGGTCCCAACTGCCCTCCCGCTCTGTGATGTCAGCACACAAGGCACCACAGAAGTACAGTTTCCATCATGTAACTTTGCCATTGACAAGTGAGGAAACTGAGGCCCAGAGCAGGAGAACAATGTCAAATACGACCCCAGCTTTGTCTGGGATCATAGTAGAAAAAAAGTACACATGTCTAGAAGTGAATGCTGACCCTTCCCAAGTTGCCAGTCACTGGCTGCTTGACCTGAGTCTAATTATCTACCTGAGACCCCTGTTTCTTCCCCTGGGAATGAAAAACTCATTTGCTCCCCAATTTTTGTAGTATTCTAGAAGCTACACAAAGAGATGAACACATTACATTCAGAGCCATGACTGGCATTAAAGGGAGCCACTTATTCTTGTGGTTACTACTTTAACCACAACCACAGACCCCAATGCTCCAGGCTGGAGTGGAAGTCTAGGGACGCTGGTGGCTCCTGTAGCAACTCAGTCATGAACTCTTGGACGCACGTGAAGGGTGTTGGAGGGGGTCAGGAAGGGTGAACAGCTGGGGCCGCAGAGTCAGGCCAGCCGCAGAGAAACCCTTTCCACAGCTGAACCTCCTCATGCACGTTTCCAGCTGTGTTTCAGCACAAGATCGAGGTGGGGACAAAGGGAGCAGCCCCCACTGACAGGCTGCTGGCCACTGCTGGCTGCCTGTCCTGCTTAGAGTCCCTCTCCCCACATCTGCTTTGTGTACCTGGGCTCCTTTTGAGTACTTATGAAAACAAGATCTTATGGACAATAAAGCTAGAAAAATCCAGGGTCTTATGATTGCTAAGGAGCACCAGGCATTTCTTTTAGGCCACCAACCAGCTCCCAAATCCTGACACAGAGACTTATTATTAGTTTTTGAAGGCTTGGCCTAGCTTAGGCACGTTTCTGACTAGCTCCTTCAACTTAAATTAACCTGTTTCTCTTTGCCTCGGGACTTATTCCCTTCCTTACTTCTGTATATCTTACTTTCACTGCTTCTCCGCAGGTGGCTGACATCTCCCTCCTTCTCTCATTCCTCCGTGTACTTCTTGGCCTAGGTCTCTCCTCCTATTTGTTCTCTCTGCCCGGCAGCCCTGCCTACTTTTTCTCCTGCCTCACTATTGGCTATCCAGCTTTTTATTAGATTAATCAGGTGCCTTTGGCAGGCAAGATGAAACAGATGCAACCCATCTTCACATCACTAAACAAATATAACAAAAACAAATGTTACATATTTAAAGTAACATTTACACAGTTAAAGTAATAGTATTTACAGCGTTAGAGTAATATCCCACAGCATAAACAAGTGCAACACATCTTACCTAGTTAAAACAACATTCTACAACACTAAGATCATCTTCTGCCTTAAAAAAAAATTCCAGCCAGGCAGTGGTGGCATATGCTTTTAATCCCAGCACTCAGGAGGCAGAGGCAGGTGGATCTCTGAGTTCAAGGCCAACCTGGTCTACAAGAGCGAGTTCCAGAACAACCAGGGCTACACAGAGAAACTCTGTCTGGAAAAAGCAAAACAAATTCTATAAACTAGAATTGGAAAGATTGTTCAGTCAGTAAAGTGCTTGCCACACAGACTTCAGTACCAAAATCCAACCCCCTGAAGCCACACCAGAAACACCCAGCATGGGGCTGTACACTTGTTTTCTAGAGCTGGAGTCAGGGAGCAGGCAGATCCTGGGAGCCTGCTCCCAACCAGCCTAGCTTAGTCTTCCAGCCCCAGGTCCCAGGGAGCGATCCTGTCTCTATAAAACATGGCGGAAAGCTCCTGGGAGACAAACTCAAAGCTGACCTCTGCCCTCCACCCACACACGTACAGCGAGGGACACCAAAGCATCTATAAGCTGTTACGTCTTGCTTTGCTCCTTAAGTATTCATTTCTTTTCTCCTCCCTTCACAGAAAACAGCTTCTGTGCTGACTGAGAGACAGAAAACAAAACAGAAGATCTGAAATGGCCAGCTCAGCACTCGCTGCTGAGTGTCTACACAGATTGAGCGGGAAGAGGGGTGACGACATGGTGCTTTTCATCCCAGCCCTAAGCGGCTGGGCCCTCTTCAGTTTTCACCAGCTTCCTGCAGCACCCTAGGATTAGGCCACAGAGCTTACTCTAACAGCCCAGACACTTCAGTATTTCTAGGGGGCTCATTTGTGTTCTATACTCCTCGATGCACAGTGTTAATTACACCCTGTTAACTACCCAGAATCCCATTCAGTCCTGACTGCTCTGCAGGTGCCACACACTGTATAAAAGCTGTAGGACCAGGCAGCCCCCTTCAGTGTCAAAGGTCTGACTGCTGGGGAACTGAGACAAACCAAAACCTTTGTGGTGGGTGCCTCTGAGATCCAAAGGCACAGGTGTGGGTGAGGACATGGGGGAGGCACACACAATCACTTGCTTCTCTAAATAATTATGAATTACCTAGAACTTCTGATTCCCACCCCCACCCCCCGTTTGTGGATGCTAGGATATAGGTGTTTGCCTTCATGCCCAGTTTGCTGTAGTGCTGGAGAGCAAACCCAGGTCCTCCTGTATACTGTGCAAACACCCTATCAGCTAAGCCACAGCCCTCAGCCTGAGTCTGCTTCCTTGATCCTCCTTCACAGCCCCGCCACAGACCACCAGATCTGAGTGAGCACAAGGCCCGGGACATGATTCCTCTTCTGAAATTTCTTAGAAGAATGAAGCAAGTGCCCTGGGCTAATGGGGGCGGCCTCCAAAAGGCTTATTTCCTTTCCGAAGCAGAAGTTCTGCTCCCTGATTGCTCCCTGGGCACTTAGTGGTTCTTCGGTGATGCCCCCTCTATTTCAAGAGCCCCCAAAATTAAGCAGGGTAGCTACAGATGAGATTTTGGTACTTTCCAAAATTAAACTATTTCCCTTGGTAAATTTCCAGCTTATGAACTCACTAATCTGAAAACAGGATGTGGCGTGCAGTGTGAGATCAGACTGCCTGCTCTTTTCTCTTTACCCTGGGGCAGAAAGGAAGAGGGGGTGGGAGAGAGGTGGGACCAAAAAGTGACTCTTTCAGGGCCCAGGGCCTTGAGAAATGTCACTTCACCAAGAGCACTTGAGATGGGTGACTTTTAACACCAGGAAGGGACACAGGGAGCTCGTAGAATTCTTTACTATTAGAACTGAAAGGCCTAAGCTAGGCTGAGTGGCATATGCCTGTGATCCCAGCCCTTGAGAAATCAAGACAGGAAGGTCACTCATTCTAAACCAGCCTGGACTGTATGGCAAGATCCTGCCCAAAAAAAAAGAAAAGAAAAGAAAAGAAAAGAAAAGAAAAGAAAAGAAAAGAAAAGAAAAAGAAAAAAACACTAAAAGCAGAAGAATGGAAAGCCTCAGAGACCACCTCTGACCATGCTTACACGGATCATGGAGATGATGTTTGGAGGGAGGGGGTTCCTGAAACACAACACTTGTCTTCAGGCAGACATTCCCCCTTCCAAGTTGAACCCCAATAAGTCTTTATTCCACCAGCCAGCCAGATGCCCAGTCCAGTCCTGCAGGATCACCTGACTGCTAGAAACATGAAGCCAGAGTGGGTCTGCCATGGGTGGGAGATAGACACACCTCCACGTCCAGAACAAAACCCAGCAAGGCCACTCACGCTGGTAATTTTTGCACTAGGAAAGCTGAGGCAGGAGGATGGCTTAAAGTTTGGAATCAGCAGGGCTACAACACAGTAATCCTTGTCACAAATAAATAAATAATAGATCCAGTTAGAAATCAAAACCAAATTATTCAGATGGAGAACCACTAGCCATCAGAACAGGGCCATTAGACACCTGAGTACAGAAGGTGCCCTTGTGAGATTCCTGTTCACAAAAACATAAGTCGGGTTTTTGCTTGTTTGTTTTGTTTTTAATCTTTTAAACCGTACTTGTATCCTAACACTAAGTTCCCTAACTCTTTTGATTAATATAAAGAGAATCATAGGGAATAAGAGACCATGTGCTTGTGTATATACATGTGTGTGTTGTGTTTATGCATATATGTATGTGTATATAAAATGTCGCATGTATGTATGTGAAATGATGTGTGTGTTTAGTTTTACAATCACAACCACTTCCCTGCTGCACCCAGTTTTGTTAGCGTAGTGCCCTGAGAGCTGCACCATCTCACTGCTTGCTGTCTGCGGCATCCACAGCTTGGTCGAGTCTGCAGGATGCTGGGCTCTTTGCAAGAACCCACTGTTGTAAGGTTCAGACTTGCTGCTTTTCCACTCATGCTCTGGCGGGATTTCAGACTGGAGCTCAATGCTGCTTGTGTGTCCCTCGCATTCATTCGTTGTACTGAGTACCTCACATGTGCAGTCACTGCGGGAGTCAGCTAGCCCCGTGACCTCACCAGATGCAATCTGGGTCTCAGTTTCCTCGTGGGAGGAGCGCTTGCCCCGCCCCCGGGCAGCCTCAGGAACCAGCCCAGCCCTACCCACTCACTCAGGCCCTGCTTCCCTCGGCATCTACCCGCTATCCCGGTTCTTAGCACGGAGGACGCTCCCGCTGGCTCGCATGGCCGGATGAGAGAAGGCGGCGCGCGCAGGTTGGTTGCCCGGCACCCGCAGATCCCCAAGCGCGAGCGTCACGACGTTGGTTCGCGCTGAAGAACCCTCCAGGGTCCTATACCCCTCGTCCTTCCCAAGCGGTGCCCTGGTCCCTTGTCACCGCAACTTCTGCGCTCAGCTCTGATCTCGTCCTGACAAGGACGTGTGGCAGGTCGATAGTCATCTGCTGAAAGAAATGGGGTCGGGAGGGCAGGGGGCCACAGGCAGGCGGCCCTACAGCATGCCCCAGGCTATGGGTGGCAGGTGCACCATGGGATTTCAATCTGGACACTGTCACCCAGACGTTCCAGGAGAAGTGGGTGTGGCACAGGTGCGCCCCCAAAGACCAGAAGGAGGCTTGCACATAGCTACTCAGAGCATAGAGAGTTCCCGTTCTGGGATGGGAGCTGTAGAGATGGGACCAAAGAAGGTGGACGTGAGAAGAGGTAAAAGAACCACCGCGGTGCACGAATCAACTCTGACGGGTGTCTGAATGACAGAAGGAAGGTGCTGGCATGAAAGAGGGGCCAAGAGCCCTCTGGCTCTCTTCCGAAAGGACAGGTTGTCAACTAGGACAGGCCCAGAGCATTTGACAGCGTGAGAGCCTCTAACAGGGTTGAAACCCTCTGGAGTTTCAGCGGCTATGTGGACAACCCTCTTTAAAATCTTCACTGCCGAGTGAAGCTAGAGTAGATACAAAAGAGGAATTTGGAGAAGGACCAAGCTCATTTTAAAGAGCAGGTCTGTGTGCTCAGTCCTTCCTGCCTCACTAGCTTGAGCAAGGCTCTCAAGTTGTCTGTGCCTTGGGTTCCTCTGCTATGAAGTAGGGGGCCTCCAAAGACTGGAGGGAAATGTTGATGAGATGTTTGTAAAAGTACTTAAAACAGGTTGAGGACGTGGCTCAGTAAGCAAGAGCTTGTGCAAGGCCTTGGGTTTGATCCCAGGGCAAAGAAAAACAAACCACTTAACACACAGCACTGAAGAGTAGTGCCTGGTATCCTACTAGACGGCAGTCCACGGATGTTTTGATGCTGGTGGGAAGGAGCTGGTGGCAGACAGGGAATCAGTGAAGGAGGCGGGGACAGGACAAGAGAAAAGAAACGAGAAGATAGATGGAGCTAATGAGGTTGGGTGCCTCCTTTGTGTCCTAACTGGAGAAGGAGGAGCTGTGTAGGGGCACAAGGGGTTACTGCTGGAGCTGAGCAGTTACAGAAAAGTCTTTCTGAGACAAGGAAGGAAACTCAAGGTCACTAGCTGAGCGGGCTGGGCAGGGCGCAGTTGAGGGTAGAAGTCTATAGGATGCAACAACCTTTTTGCCAACAACCACTAGAAGTTCTGGAACCATCCTAGGGATGAGGGATGGTTGAGTTTATCTAGAACAGTGGTTTTCAAGCTATGGGTCATGATCCCCCTTTGGGGGTCAAATATTGGATAGTCTGAATATTAAATATCTATATTCATAACAGTAGCAAAGTTGCAGTTACAAAGTAGCAACAAAAATAATTTTGTGGTTGGGGTCACCACAACATGAGGAACTGGATTTAAGGATTGCAGCATTAGAAAGGGTGAGAACCACTGAACACAGGGTCTAAACTTCCCGACCCCCTGGAACTCACAGAAGTTGAGAGATGTAAAAACACTGTTAAGCGTAATTTGCCATTTTAAACCCCTTTCCTTGTTGGGAGGCCAAGAAGGGCATGGTTGTTGCCTGAGTAAAATACCAAAAGTTTTTGGAGTATGTCATGAACTGCGACCTCTGCCACACTTTCAGTTTCTTGATGGTCAGCTACAATTGTCAGCTTGACACAACCTGGGGAGAGTCTCCTTGAGAGATTGTGGACATTGGGCTGGCCTGTGGGCATGCAGTGGGAGATTGGCATAATAAAGTTAATTGATGTAGGAACACCCTGCACATTGTGGGTGGCGCCATTCCCTACACAGGAGGTCCTGAACTGTAAGAGTACAGAAACTAAACTGAGAACAAGCAAAGGAGCAAGCATCCATGTATCTGTTTCCCTCGGCCCCTGACTGTGGATGTGATTTGACTAGCTGTTAGAGGTTTGTCTTGACCTCCCCCAATGATGGACTTTAGCCTGGAATTGTAAGTCAAATCAGTTTCCACTCATGTTGCTTTTTGCCAGGGTGTTTTATCACAGTCAGAGAAATGAAACTAGAAGACCCCCCAATATTTGATCATCTTGACAACTGGGTAAAATACATGATTTTATCCCCCATTTTACGTATACAGAACTGAGGTTCAGACACATTTAAGACTGTGGTGAGTGAGCCAGGCATAGTGGTGCATGTTGGCACATGATGACACATGCCTTTAATCCCAGCACTCAGGACGCAGAGACAGGCGGATCTCTGGGAGTTCAAGGCCAGTCAGGGCTGCATAGTGAGACCTTGCCCCAAAACAAACAAATAAATATTAAAATGCATATGGTGGATCCAGGATCCCACTTCAGAGCTGCCTGAAATCAGAGCCTGTACATTCACAAATCCCATAGCAGTGCAGTTGGGTGGGGAGGTGTATGGAGGTCGTTTTTGTCATTTGACAGTTTGAGATAAGCCGGGTGCCCCGACCAACATCCTTGTCTCTGAGACTTCATCATGTTGCCTTGTTCTTTCCTTGTCCATGGTGGAACAGCACAGGGCCTGGTTCAGATCCCACCGCCCAACCTCAGGCTGTGTGTCTTTGGGTCTCACGCCTTGCTTCGTTGAGATGTACATGGCCACAAAAGGATTGTAAGGGTTGGAGGAAAAGTCTGCCCACCACACAATGGCTGGCCAGAGTCATGTTTTTTCCTGTTCACCCTCATACACGCGTGGATGTATGGTCCGCTTGGCAGCTATGGCAAACCCCCATGAACCTGAACTGGTGTAGTGCCTTGGTCTCAGCAGGGACGTGTGACTCCTGACCAGATACACGGCCACCTATGACTTCCTGAGTCGGGTTTGGGAAGAGGGCTCTGCAGAGTCTGCGGTGCCAATGCCTTGGACTTCAAGGGAGGGGCGGTCCCTGTTCCTCTGTCACCATCATGACTGCCACACAATGCCACAGGCAGAGTGGGGTCGTCAGAGGCCTTGCTGCTACCTTTGGTGGCCTGAGTCATAGACTCCGCAGTCTTACTCCTAGAGACCACTTATTCGATTCATTTTTTCAAGATAGGGTAACCAAGAAACAGTGTGAGAAAGTGGCATTTCCCCAAGGCCACCCAGATATGCTAGAGGACCCAGAACTTGAATTTTGGACCTGCTTTCACGACCCTTGGGGTTTCCTTCAGAAAGCCCTACTGTTCCAGAGAATTCTACATGGTTCAGAGGTCCCGACAGGGGCGGGGTAAGACAAGCAACCAGCTGAGGCCTCTCCACCAAGGTGCCCGGGGAGGAGATAGAGGAAGCCAACGGCAGCCTGTGGTTCTCAGGCAGGGAACCATGACTCTGGAGAACCACAGCATCACTCTCATTCTCCCACTATGACTGTCGCTTGCATGTTCTCACTCTGAAAAATGTCTGGACACTCCTAAAGGTTTCAGTCTCTGTCCAGGGGCTTTTCCTAACCACAAAGGGTAATTCCTACTCCGTCCCTACTGTGACTCAGCTGTGACGTCTACCACACCGCCAGAAGAGAAGATAAAGTCACAGGAAGGGTGGCCCAGGCTAGAACCCACCTCTCTCTACAGGCTCCACAAGGCCTCGGCTCTACTTGACAGATCCTCTCTGGTCTGAAACCTCAAGATGGCCTCCAATTCAGCCAGCGACCCCCGCCCAGCTCCTGATGAAAATGAGTTTCCATTTGGTTGCCCCCCAGCTGCCTCCCAGGACCCCTCAGAGCCCAGGGCTCTCTGCTGCACCACCTGTCTCTCTGAGAAATTGAGGTGAGGGGGTCAAAGGGCCAAGGGCTGGTGGGAAGAATGGCCAGGGAGGGAGCCTGATGGGAGGGGAAACTGAAGAGATCGGCTGGCTGTGGGCAGGCGACTTCACCTCTTGAGTGTCTAGTTCCAGGCTCTTTTCTTCCGAACACTGCCCACTGGCTGGAGACAGGTGTGTCATTAGCCACGGACAGCTGTCTGTCCGTCATTATTGAGGTGGAACTTTAAGCTCCACTTGACCACTTCCTGCTATGTGGCCTGGTTTGAACTTCTGGTCTCCTAACTCTAACTTCTTGCCTGTGGAGCTGCCTTCTGCCTCACAGAATTATTACAAGGCTCCATCAGTAATATTCCCCTAACCTCTCCCAGTAATGAACATAAGCCCCTTGGCAAATACCATACGGCAGTAAAGCACTCTTCTGTTTTTTTAAACCCAGTTAATGGGGGCAAACTTGCAATAGGGTGTTTATTTATGCTTGAAGTGTAATTATCAGGGATGTGCTGCAGCAACAGCACCGATGATACCCTGCCTTGGCCATCCCTGTGCACCTGCTGTGCGTCAAGTGTTCCATCCCTGTGTCCTCCATCCGCCTGTCACTACCCTAGGTAGAGCTGAGAACTGCAAAGCCCCCAGAGACAAAGTCACTTACCACTGCCTGTGGCCTGTGGGTTTTCTGGTGAAGATCCCCGTCAAGAGCTGTGGGCCACAGGCATGACCTTTTCTTCGGGACCTTACAGCTTGAGAATGTGGGGAAACTGAATCAGTCAAACGAGAAGTTCAAACTCAGTGACTAAGGGGAGAGGCAGGAACCTGGGTGGGAGTTTGTAGCAATGGAAAGGCTGAGTGGGGGGGTGGAGGTCCCAAATGACTGGGCTTCCTGGCCAGCTGATGCTCTGAGCTCATCTCCTCACCCACCCTCTTTGGCCCGGCGGAAGAGGAAGCAGAAGTCGGCTGGAGAGTGCAGGTCCCAGCCAGAGGTGCCCCGGCCCTGCTCTGCCTTCACTTGCTCTCCATCCAAGGCCGCCTTCTCTGGCCTCATTTTCCTCACCCAGAAATGGTGAGGAACAACACTCACTCTGGGTCAGAAACACTTGCACAGATGTCCCACGCTGTTCCCATTCCAGAGAGATAGCCCCCTGATAGGCCCTGATCACCTAAGGCCAAGAATAAGAGACCAGAACCACATACACGGTACTGAGAAGAACAAATGGAGTTCCACACTGCAACTCCTTGTCTAGACCCTTGAGACTGGAAGTGTGGGGTTCAATTTCTGCAAGTCAGTGCACGGGATAATTCTCCCAGTAGAGACCCTGTAACCAGTCACTGAGATAGGTCTTTCTACAGAGAGCCATCCACAATCCCGCTACCTGGGTGAGGAAAGGCACCACCAGGTCAAAGCAGGTGGGGCTGCAGGGCAACTCACTGCAAGCTTCAGGAAACGGTGGGTGCCTGGGGCTCGGAAGCTTTGACGGTGGGGCTCCAGGACGGTGGAATTACTGCAAGGGGCAAGGTCTAGGCTTTGAAGTCTGTCAGGAAGGGGGCAAATGATGGGCAGCAGGGGCCAGCAAGGTGTGGTAATTTGAGAATCTTGTTCATGTTTCCCCAGAGAGGGTGAAGATCTAATCTGTCCCAAATGCAGAGCAGAAAACCTCCAACCTGTGAGCCCAGGAAGCCTTCTGACTCAGGAGAAGGTATGTCAGCATCTGGCCATCTCTGGGGACTAATGAGATGGCTCAGTCTGTGAAGACCTAAGTTTTCTCACTAGAACCCATGTAATGAAAGCTGTGTGTAAAGATATCTGCAATGCCAGTGCTGGGGAGGAGATGTGGGGACCCCTGGGGCTTACTGGCCGGCTAGGCTGGGGAGGAGATGTGGGGACCCTGGGGCTCACTGGCCAGCTAGGCTGAGGAGGAGATGTGGGGACCCTGGGGCTCACTGGCCAGCTAGGCTGAGGAGGAGATGTGGGGACCCTGGGGCTCACTGGCCAGCTAGGCTGAGGAGGAGATGCAGAGAACCCTGGGGCTTACTGGCCAGCTAGGCTAGTCTACAAAGTGAGTTCCCAGCTAACCAGAGACCTTGTCTCCAAAAGAAAGAGGGGGGAAAATGGTGGATGGCAGGCACATGAGAAACTGCTCCAGAGGTTGTCCTTTGGCCTCCACTGAGAGCGAGGTGGAAGGGGGCACTTGCCCAGGTAGAGGCAGAGTGGATAGTTGCCCATGTGGCCTTTGGCTTGTAGATGCATCTCTGCTTTGTCTTGAGCCCACAGTGAATTCACTTCCCCAGCAAGGCAGAGACAAGTGTTCACAGTGACAGCAGCACATTGTCCTAAGCCACTTGGTAGGCTCTGATCTATTTAGAATTGGAACCACCTTCTAGACCAGGAGTCCAAAAACTGGTTCCTGGACCAAACCCAGTCCATCTCTTAGTTTTATATACAGCCCACAGGATAAGGACGTTTCGTGTGTTTTAGCTGATGGAAGAAGCTGCATTTAGGAATTCATAAAGACTCTATAACTTGCCAACTCTATGATCATAATGCAAATTCTGCTAGTATCTAGCCACCCTCACTCTCCCTTATTGTCTGCGGCTGCTTCCTCCCTACAGTGGCAGAGTTGAGCACTTATAACAGAAATTTCAAAACCCCAAAGTTTATTCTACAGCCCCTTACTTGAGAACTTCAGCCAGTTCCCAATATAGAGAGAGATCATTTTCAACTCAAGCCAAGCTCCGCATCCAGGAGTAAGAAACACCTTCAGACCTTTGAAGGGGCCAGAGAGACATGCTTATGCAATAGCCTTGAAATCTTGTCCAACCCTCCCCACCAGGATGAAAAGACCTTCATAGGATACCTGTGTAGCCCAGAGGGAAGGTACCTGGGTAGCCTAGAGGTCTCCAGGTCCCACCAACTCGTGATGAAATGAGAGAAGTATAGAAATGTATTCAGTGTTATAAGTTAAATTATCTCGGCTTAGAGAGTCGATCTTTACTCCGTGAATGTGAACTTTATCTCATGGCATTAGCGTAGATAAGACTTTCAGGTAAACCTTTTACCAGATACAGAACAAGGACAACAATCTGTATGTTAATCTCACAATTAAGATCCCAAACAAACTTAAGTGAGTTACAAAGTCCAACCATGTAGGAGTCGCTGCATAAAACCTGACTTCTTGGGTGAGAGGTGCGGAAGACACACTGGGACTTCAATGCCCGAGCTCCTCAGTGGCCAGGATCTCAGTCTTGTCATCCTCTCTGTCCCCACAGTGAGACAAATGAAGCTGCTTTTGGCCAAAGCTCCCTCCAGCAGTGAACAGTGGCCCACGGGTCCAGACCTCAGTGTGCAGGAGTGGATTTATTTCCCTCAGTGTTTGTCTGGAGGCAAACTTGTTTTCAGGCCCTGTTTCTCCCTTGGTTTAATGCAGATGCTAAGTTGGCTCTTCCCAGGATCTGTGACATCTGAGTCACGGGTCAACAGCTGCCAGGGCACCTCTCCCTCCCTCCCATTGGCCCAGATGCAGAAGGGGCTCCACACCTGTTCCCCCTTCCTTTGCACCAGTCCCTGTCATTCAGAGTGTAGGGACTTCCTACCCTGCCCATGGCTGACTGAAGGGCTTTCCCTTCCATTTTTAGAAGCCTCCCCTCTGGTGGGCCCTCAGAGAATAATAGGGGTCAAGTTAATTTCCAGGGAAGAACTTCTTAGCCTCCCTTCTGGCTGTCTCGGAACCCGCTTCACAGACACCTTTCCGTGGCCTCTGGGCTGACGTGTGCAGCTCAGGGAATGGGCTCTGTGCCTTCCAGGTTTTCTTCTTCCCCCTTAGCAATATTAAAACACACCTCTTGTATACATGTAGGTAATATGGGTCAGATAGACGTTAATGTCACTTCGTCTAGCATCTTTAATTGTTTTGCACCTTTGCCAACATAAACCCTATACAAGTAGAAGGCTTGGGTGGAAGGGGTGTCTGGAGCCGAGCCCTCCTAGTTAGTCTGCAGTGATGTGTAGGTAAAGCCTCTATGTCTGTCTGTAAGCGGCATGACTAGGAAGGCCTTGTGTCTGGCTTTGACAGAAATGTTGCAGTAAGGCTCTAGCTACGTTTGGGTTAATCAGTGGAGGCTAAGAAATTGTTCTGAGACTGTTTAAACCTTGAGGAACTGTTTCTCTGGAGAGTCTCACTCGGTGTGTGAGAGAGCTTGCAGCTACTGACCTTGGTCCTAAGACACTCCTGGCAGGCACGGAGCTCTGCCTTTTGCTTGTGGTCATAATGAAAAGGGGCTGAGATTTGTGTGGGCTGTCTGCTCTCACGGGCAGCAAGAGCAAGAAGTCTCTGGTCGTTGGAATCTTTCCCAGCTCCTGTTAACCTTGCACATGTTTGAATAAAGTAACTGGAGTTAGCAAGCTGGGTGTCGGTTTTTTCCAAGAAGACTGAACCCTGCTGCTCCTTTGGAAAGTTTAAAACTTAACATCTTGGAGAGCTTCTCTCTCTACTGTAGCACTATGACCCAACATCAAACAGTATTATCCCATATTTTCTCCTGCCCCAGACTCTAAAGACTTGAGGGATTTCCAGGGCTCAGCAAGAGCACAGGTTGAAATTTGCTTCCTTAAGACAAACAAAGTAAAGGACCAGAGAGATAGCTCAGTGGTTAAGAGCACTGCCTGCATGAACTACAGGGTAGTTACCATGGGGACTCCTCTGATCCCACCCCTGACGGGAACTTAGGGACTTTTAACCTGGAGAAAGTGACTAAGCCAGGCCTTTGCAATGGTAACTCCCACCTTTTTTTGTCTGCAGGCCTGAGGAAACCTAGGAGACAGAAACTGGGCAAAGAGGCCAAACTAGGGAGCAGCTGAGCTCAGCCCAAGGTGCCCATCTAACAAACCCTCCCCATGCCCACTACTATCCTCCCCTGAGTCTGTAATAGATCATCATCGCCTTACGTAGGGCCCAGAAGCATCAGCTAGTTACCAACAAAGCAAGCAAGTATTAGAAGGTCAGTGATAACATAGAGAGGCTACTCTTGTCTGAAATGACCTTCCTGAACAATTGACAATAGGGTAGAAGACAAATCAGGAGCTGGGGATGGGGAAGGGCTGGGCAGATCTTCTGTTTCTGCTGTGTAAGCATGATGATCCATGTTCAAATCTCCAGAACCCCTGCTAAAAAAGGGGGGTGGACTTGGCCATGCATATTTGTAAAATAGTCATGTAAGGGGTGGAGACAGGAGGATTGCTGAAGCTTGTTGCTCACCAGCCTAGCTCTAGGTTCAGTAAGAGACCCTGTCTCAAGGGACCAAGTCTCAAGGTGGAGAGCAATGAGAGTGATAGTGCAGGGTATCTGATGTGGGTGCAAGCACACACACACACATATACACATGTACACACACATACACACACATACATGCACATACACACATATACACACATACACACACATACAATGACACACACATATACACATATACATGCATGCACACACACATACACACATAAACACACACATATACATACACACATGGCATACACACATGGTGCACACACATACACACACATACACACGCATGCACGCACACACACATATACATACACATGCACACACAAACAAAACAAACCAGGAACTAGGAAATAACATTTGATTATGTTTGCTGAGACCCCAAGAAGGGAACTCTGCTTCTCTCACATTCTTCCCTCTGAGGTCCAGTCAGGAAGATTGGTTTGTGGCTCATGATAATGCCATGGTCTTCTCTAGAGCCCCAAATGACAGGAATTTAAGCAGTCTCGTGTAACGTCCAGTGTGTGCATGCAGTGGGCTCCTGCCACCTGGGGGTGTCTTTTCAGAGCAGGGAACTCATGGCACTGTAACGTGACCCCTCCACATGCCATGACTTCTGACCACGATGGTGACTTCTTCCATTATTTGTGCTGAACCCAAGTGGGCTTCCTTCAGGGAAGGCCAGTCAGCCTTCTGTTCCCAGGGTCCTGGTGTATGGGAAAGTACTCCATATGTCCCCCGTGTCTGTGTCTGTGCTCTCTGAAGTGTGCTAGCCAGTGTGACTCCCCATCTTTCCACACTCAAATGTGACATGTGCTCTCTAAAGTGTGTGTCTCCCATCTTTACTCTCCTAAATATGACTGTGCTCTCTGAAGTGCACTAAACGGTGTGAACTCTCCACTTTACACTCCTAAATGTGACAGTTTGCATCACAATCTTAGCCCTCCAACAGCATCCTGTTGGTACCCTTGATTTATTAATAGTTAGTATATAAAGGCCGAGGGCAAAGGAGATGCTGGTAGCTGACCCTAAATCAATGGCAGAGCCAGACTCCAACCTCATGCTCCTAGACTGGTAGTATTTGCTCTATTTCAACGTCAAGTGGAAAATCAGCTCCCATACATGACCTGTGCACCTGGCAGGAGCAGTCACTCTGTAGGTGTGAAGGCAAGGTAGGGCAAGCACCCTAGACTACCTGGGTGAGCACAACATAACCACAGGATCCTCGTGAGGAGACAAGCATGCACGGGGGTGCGAAGGGGATGTTGACTTGGACGATGCAGAGAGGACCCTCGGGTCAGGAGCTGCAGGCAGCTCGCAGAGGAGCAAGCAGCTGCCAGCACCCTCATGGTAGGACTGTGAGATTGTAAGTTGTATTGTGTTAAACCACTTAGTGCTGTCACGGCTACAAGAGGTTAGCAATGTGAGCGCTTATGTGTATCACCTCGTGTTCCTACAACAGCTAGAGGATGGATTAGCATTATTCATTTTGCAGATGGGGAAGCTAAACCTAGGAGAACTTAGTAACTCTCCCAGTACCATGACACTACGACAGTATTATAGACACACAGGGTGACTCTTGGAGCCCACACCCAAGTACATGGTAAGGCGTGGGTGATGGGTGACCAGAGCTGGCAGCCTCACTAACCCTAGGGCTTCAGAAGACCTCTTGAGTTACCCCTGCCCATCTTTCAGCATTCAGTGCCAGTCACAGTAAACTCCCCTGCATGCCTCATCATGAGGACAAGCCAGACATCCACACAGCCCACAGCAGGCTGTCCTGCCCACAGGCCCTGCTCATCCACGGGCACATCCCACTCTGTGAGCAATGCCTGAATTCCGGTGTTAGATGTCCCACTTTCTTGTTCTTATCCCTCTGGGGACTATCGACTTCAAGCCACAATGGATGGGAACCATACGCATGGAATCACAGGGCTCAAAAGGGTCCAGAAATACCTGGCATCTGGTGCCCCTGAGCCTCATGTCATCACTAGTGACCTGTTGGAGAGGCTGTTTTGAGGCTGATTCCCACAACCAGTATATCTCCCTGCTGGGACCCCCTTTGCCTGTCCCCATCAACATCTGTTTCCTATTCTTGGTTGGGAACAGCCTGCCCTGTAGCAGAAGGCAGTGGGACAGGTGGGTGATCCTTTGATGGGCCGGTGAGAATCAGCTTTGAGAAAAGCGAGCCCTGTGACTTTGTATCTGCTCAGCCCTGTAGGCTCCCTCCTTTCCTTTCATCCTCATCTCCTGATTATTCTGGCAAAAAAAAAAAGTTCTCACAAAATCAAGATATCATTTACAGATTTTAAAAAGTGCTCATTTTAGGTGTACTGAGTGTACAGTTTACTAAAGTCCTGGTTAAAGTACAAAATCAGGTGACTCCCCACTACCGAGATGGCAAATGCCCTACCCCACATTGCTGGTCATTCCCTACACACACAACCAGACTGGTGACAGGCAGTAACTGCCTCTCGGGACCATGTTGCCTCCCCTAAACTTTCTTCACAAGGATGTCCTGGAGTCCGTACCAAGTGGGCTACATTCCCAGCCCTATGAAGGTGTTTTACAGAAAGCTCAGCCCTGCTTATCTAACTCACTCACAACTTACAATCGGCCTCCAGATAGCCCACATATGCCACTCCCAGGATGTATTCAAGAGAAGCAGAAACTCATATCTACACAGAGATGTGTGTGCACACAAGGCCTGGGCTCAGTCCCTTGTGTCTCATGAGCCAATATTTGTGATACTCAGCCCTCAGAAAATGGAGGCAGGAGGATCAGAATTTCAAGGCTGCCGGAGTGTAATGGCACATGCCTTTAGTCCCAGCATTTGGGAGGCAGAGGCAAGAAGATTTCTGTGAGTTTGGGGCTAGCCTGTTCTACATAACAAGTTCCAGGCCAGCCAGGGCTACATAGTGAGACCCTAGATAAATAATAATAACAACAACAACAATGATAACAATAATAATAAAATGAATTACTTGGGTAAGTTTTCCAGTGTGTCTATTACTATTTTGCTCTTGTTGCCCACATTCTTGCTGGGAAGGCCTTGCCATGCTAGTCCAGCTCTCCTGACACATGGGAGCGGCGCTCCTCCATTGCAGTGGCAGGCGCGCTCCCCCTTCATGGTGCTCTTTTTGTGAAGTATCTCTTCAGCATCCTGAAACTGAAGAGTGGGGGCTCACTCCGGAGTTGTGTGCACTCTCTCCCAATAGCATGGAATGAGCTGTTCCAAATAACAGCAGGGCTCAGTCCTCTTTCTGTAGAATGATTACAGAAGGGCAAGACTCCAAAGGTGGAGCAAAGTTGGCCAGGCAGAAGGAATAGAGCTAGCAGAGTCATGTGCCTAGCCAGTTCTGGCCTTGTTGGCTCCCGTCACTTTAGGGTGGCCCCGGGGGTGCTTCCCAGCATCCAGTGACACAATTATCATTTCCAGGCCCACCCTGAGGTGACTGAGGCTGGAGTCCTGTGTCCCTTTGCAGGTGTTGGCTGTTCCTTCAAGGTAAGTAACTGCATGTCAAATCTGTCCATGGTCCCAGCCCCATTCCCCACTCCCAAAACACCTCTGGTGTCTCGTGCTATTGAGTTGCCAAGCAACAAATACAACTCTTAAGTCATTGTACTATGCCAAGTTTTTCTTAATGCCTCACCTAAGTCCTGGAGCATCACTCAAGAGCATGTCCCCACACCTCTCTCCATGGTCCTGAATCATCACTCTGCTCAAGTGCAGGGCAGAATGGCCACACTAGAGACCTGGATGTTAGCTGCGGGGAGGTGTCTGGAAGCTGTCTCCTGTACATGGCTTCACCCCCGCCCTTCTCCATACAGACAGCCACTTTCCCTCTGCTGGGATAATGTTCTGACTCTGTTTGGTGGCCTTTGACGCCATGTCTCCCTGCTAGAACCCAGGGTCTCCTTCCACTGTTCCTTAGCAACTCTCCCTCTCTTCTCAGGGGAGCCCACAATCCATGCAGGAGCACGAGGCCACCTCCCAGGCCTCCCACCTGCACCTGCTGCTGGGGGTCCTAAAAGAGTGGAAGTCCTTGCCAGGCTCCAACCTGGGCTCCACGCCCATGGCCCTGGAGCGGAACCTGTCCGAGCTGCAGCTTCAGGCGGCCGTGGAAGTGACTGGGGACCTGGAGGTCGACTGCTACCGGGCGCCTTGCTGTGAGAGCCAGGACGAACAGGCCCTGTGGTACCTCCTGAAAGAGAAGCATTTGGCTCAGCTGGAGGAGAAACTGCGTGTGTTTGAGAACATCGTGGCTGTCCTCAACAAGGAGGTGGAGGCTTCCCACCTAGCACTGGCCGCCTCCATCCACCAGAGCCATCTGGACCGAGAGCACATCCTGACCTTGGAGCAGCGGGTGAGTGAGATGGGCAAGAGCTCTTGACATCAGCTCAGGGTGCCGGTACGCCATGCAGCCTTCTCGTCATTCATCCTGCCCAAAGAGGTTGCCTCCTTCCTAACCCAAATGTCCCCTCTTCCCAGGACCTATTAGGAAGACCCTAGTCAGAAGCTTGGGGAAAGCCAATGCCATGCTGTCCGGTGCTTCAGGTCTTCTGTTTAGAATCGGCCCGAAATGCTCTCTCCTCCGTTCCATTGTTGGGCAGTTCCACTGCTACACAGTCCCTCCTTTCGTAGAGCTGCTTTCCCAGTATTGGTCCTGGCTGTGACCTTCAGGGCCCACAGAGCGACGGGCTTGCTTGTCCCCACCCCTGCTGTCCAGAGCAGACAGTGCTCACATCCTAACAGACGATGTCCCTCAGTGCCCTCATCTGCTCGTCAAAGCATGGGGGGCCAGGATGTTTTCCTATGCTCTGCCTCAGTTTCTGCAGGCATCCCCATGCAGAGCGTAGTCTCAGCCCACCTCCTCCATTCCAGGGGTCACACTGCTCCTAACGGAGTCAGTCACCAGGCTCATGTCATTCTTTATTTAAACAGCAACATTATTTCACTGTGTCCCACTTAGCTGGGCCTGCCTTTAGTTCTGCCCCCACCACACCCGACCAGTATGTCTCCCAGCTAAGTTTATCCTTTCAGATGTCTCTGAGGAAACCCATTAGCAGGAGCAGGCACTGGGCTCCAATGACCAGGCAGCTCCTCACCCCTGCTGTAAAGTAGGTTCCCAAGGGCAGCGAGAGTTCCCATCGCACCCTCAGACTTCTGGCTCCACTCTTGGAGCTTAGCACTATGGGGGTGGACATAGAAAGATAGGAGCCCGCCATGGGGAGACAGCCTGGGCAAGAGGAGGAAGTCGTAAGAGTCATGAAACACAGTGAGAGAGACTCGCCAACTAGGACCATGACTGGAGGCTTTACAGGAGGGGCTCTGTGAGCTGGGCTCCTGCCGAATGATAGGAGCTGGCCTGGGGGTACAAGAGAAAGGGACTCCAAGCATGGGACAGGTGCAGGCACTAGGTGATAATTGGTCAGGGAAACCTCTGAGTTGATATATCCCCAGTCCCTCAAGCTGGGTGCTGGTCCTCTGGCTAACCAACCTTCCCTGCAGGTGGTGGAGTTGCAACAGACCCTGGCCCAAAAGGATCAGGTCCTGGGCAAGCTGGAACAGAGCCTGCGGCTCATGGAGGAGGCCTCCTACGATGGCACTTTCCTATGGAAGATCACCAATGTCACCAGACGGTGTCATGAGTCAGTGTGTGGCAGGACTATCAGTCTCTTCTCTCCAGGTAACGCCCTGTGGGCACAAAGACTGGGAGGAGAGACAGGCCCCAGCGGGCCTGGGGGACAAGAAGGGAGAACAGCCATGCTGAGTCGGGTTGGAGCCCCTGCCAGTCATGGGGGAGATATAGACTGTGCTCTCTGAACCATGACTCTGCCAGCATAGCAACTGTCCTCTCTCCTTCCTGGATGTTAATTGCACTCTGCAAAGAGGCTATGGGATGAGAAGGGGGATAGGAGATGAAATTCAACAGCCAGAGTGGTACAGCCGCCAGTGTCACGGCCCAGCCGGCCATCTGCAGTAGGAGGCAGAGGACCCAGCCAGGCTCTGGGAAGCTGTGTGCCTGTGGGCACATGGGCATCAACAGATTGGGTTTCGGGCCCTTTGATGGACTTAATAGAGTAGTGACTTGACACTCTTGTTATTCACTAACTGGTAACCAAATGTGCACGTGCATGTGTATGTGTATGTGTGTGTGTGTGTGTATACATATAATATTTACATACCTATAGATGGCATACATATAATATTTACATTCAGCTCTGGATCTGTTTAAGTCACACCATCTGCCAGGACCAGGCCATTCCTGGATGTGACATCTGAGAGCCTTGCCAAGTACTTGCCCTCCCAGCCTCATTTTATAGAAAATCACCTGAAGCAAGGAGGCAGGGTCCCCAGTAGGGGGTCTGCTTAGAGCTGGGTGCACAGCTGTGCCCAAGGATGTACCATCAGGGAGAGGGCCACGTGACCCCCCCATGCTTGGTCACTGGGGATGGCTTGCCTCTTGGGGCCATTCCCAAGGGTTAATAGCAGAACCCAAAAGGGCCTTCTCACAGCAGCCTCCAGGGAGGGCCCAACCTTTGGGCAGCCGAGAAAATCAATGCCAAGATCTGGGAAGCCTGGCTGGACCTTAACCCTACTTCTGCCCCAGCACATAAAACAACACCCACCCATCTCCCTTTCTGGGCTCAATCTCTAGTTCCTTGAGGGTTGGTTAAGATGGTAGATTCCACGTGTAGCTGTGAGACAAGCAGCATGGCGCCGCAGGGAATGGTAAAACCACAGATGCCAGATCACCTACCGAGCCAGAACCATCGAGTGGGAGCCTTCTCTGTGACCAGAAGGCCAGCTGCCAACCCCTGAGCTAGGCAACCTCCAAGAGCATGGCCTTCCTCAACACTCTTCCTAGAGAAGAGAGCCAGGTCCCAAACCCCACTATCCTCAGCCCCTGCCTGCTGCACCCCATCTCCTCACCTGTGCTGACACTGCCTTCACCTCTCAGCTTTCTACACGGCCAAGTATGGTTACAAGCTGTGTCTGCGGTTGTACCTGAATGGGGATGGCTCAGGCAAGAAGACCCACCTGTCCCTGTTCATCGTCATCATGAGAGGAGAGTATGACGCTCTGCTGCCCTGGCCATTCCGGAACAAGGTACGAGCCCAGGAGAAGATGGGTTTGGGGAGGGCATGGTGACTTTAGCTATGCACCTGAGGTCTGGGCAAGTCTCCTGTGCTTACTGTATCAATTTCCTTTTATAAAATGAAGCTGAGTGCAAATCCAGCGGCCGAGGATCCTGCCCACTGAGAAGGAGCTTCAGTGTCTGGAACAAAACACTTTGAAGGAGCACTGGGATTTTTTAAAGTCCTCCCCAGAAATTCTAGTGCCAGCAAGTTTAAGGGCAGCTTTAGCAAGGAGAAGCAGTGTGTTTCTTGGGTTACATTCAAGGGGTCCTGCCAGGGGAGAGCTTGTGTCATGCTTAGGGGATCCACTTCTCAGGGGCTTTTATGATCTGCCCTGGGTACACCAGAAGCTCAGTGGAAGCTGCGCCCCCGTCTGCTCTTGCTTCCTGCCTGGCAGCAGAGGTCCCAACAGAAGTTGACACATCACCATGATCCTTATCAGGGCACCCTAGTCTCTGCAGCCCGTTTAATTATAGTAACAGAACCCCCACTACTGTGGGCCTGGGGAAATGGTGAATCCACACCAAAAACCAGGTGTGAGTACCTCCCATCCCAGAACTGGGAAGAAGGAGTTATGAGGACCTCTAGGGCTTGCCATCCAGCCAGTGGAGCTTCACCAGTGATCTCCAAGTCTGAATAATAATAATAATAATAATAATAATAATAATAATAATAAGGAGAGCAATAGAGGAGGACACCTGATGGTGACTTGTGATCCTGTGATTTGCACACATGCAGAAAGAGAGAGAGGGAGAGAGAGAATTCCCATTGGGTGAGACAGTGAAAGACAAAACCTGAAGCTACCATAGTACCAGGTGTTTCTTCTGCCCCATGGGCCTCTCCCTAGTGCATATATGAAGTCCTTTTCACCTGTGCTTCCTCTCCATGTGGAACATGGTACCTCCTCTCCATGGTCAGAGCAACAGCCCAAGCAGTGGGCGTGGAGCCATCTGAGCCCAAACAACTGGGCTCCCATGAGAACCAATGCTATCCCCTGAGGCCTGACCCCTCCACCTATCCCTACCCTGCAGGTCACCTTCATGCTACTTGATCAGAACAACCGTGAACACGCCATTGATGCCTTCAGGCCTGACCTGAGCTCGGCCTCCTTCCAGCGGCCGCAGAGTGAGACCAACGTGGCCAGTGGCTGCCCGCTCTTCTTCCCCCTCAGCAAGCTGCAGTCGCCCAAGCACGCCTACGTAAAAGATGACACAATGTTCCTCAAGTGCATTGTGGACACCAGTGCTTAGGGATGTGGCGTATCTCCTGAGGGGAACCAACTTAGACTAGGGGACTTAGCTGGATAGGCCTCCAGGCCCTGCCCTTGGAGCCCACGGTGCAAGAGAAGGATGGGCTGCAGCTGGAGTGACCAGAGTGCCACAGCAGCTTGGTTGTGGCTACTGAGAGAGCAAGAGAACTGGAGTTGTGCCAGCAGAGACAGAGTGGAGAAGGCAGAAGTGCTCTCTTCATAACGCCAGGAGGCAGGCACACTCAGAGGCTGGCACACCAGGAGACTGGCACACAAGCAGACCAGCATGCCAGCAGGTCCTGAATGTTGAGACCACCTTAAGACTGGCCTGGGGCATGGATGTTGAGCCAAGGCTGTGGGGCCTAAGCAGAGGAGCACTCCTACTGGGAAGGTCTCTGCAGGCCAGTGGAAACTGGAAACACATCAAGTCTCTCTGTCCAGACTCAGAACTAGGACCACAGGCAGAAGTGTCAGACGCTAGTGTGAATTTGACCTGCCCGGGGCTGGGTTCCTGTGTTAACAGATAAATCCGGAAGCTGTACCAGGAAAGCCTTGCTGGTTGGATTCAAAGACCTTTGATGTTTTTACAGACGAAACAAATAATAACAAGCTTCCTGTCCCTGGTGAGGTTACCCCCACAGAGGACTCTGGAGAAATACCCAGGATCCTCATGTCCTCCAGCTCCCCACTCACCTAACCTTGCAGCCCAGGTTCCCAACAGACAGGAGCACACCCAGGTCACGTAAAGATCTTGCCATGCAAATCAGGGGCCAGTGTCCAAGACACAGCACCTCCTCCGCTGCTCACAGAGTGCCCAGCCAAAGTGGGACTGCTACACTCCTGGGGACCGCTGTTCCTCCATTCTTGCATTTCCTGCTTTCTTCCTTTGTGGAGGCCAGAAAGTGTCCTCAGCATTCCTTCCCTCCATTCTTCCTGTCCCCCCCACCCCCGCGCCCCCTCTCAAAAGGCCACACTGGTTTCAAATTCACTCTATAGTCAAGGATAGTGTTGGATGCCTGGTTCTCCTGCCTGCAGCCCCCAAGTGCTGGGATTATCGGTGTGTGTCCCCTGCCTGGTTCCATGAAGTGCTGGGGACAAGCTCTGCTCCTGGGCAGCTGTGGGTAGCTCCTACGCCCAGCCCTGCCAGGGAAACAGTGAGAAGTGCAGCCCACTCTCCGGAATCTCCTAGTTCAGTGGAAGACACCAGCGTGTGTGAAGGAGAAAACAGCCTTGGAGGGATAGGGTGTATCTTGGCTGCAAGCAGGGGTTGAGTGACCAAAGGGGAAGGCAGAAACGCTGGGTCAGCCAGAACACAGTCATCAAATGCTGAGCAGTGACGCACCTGCAGGACCCTTGGCCTGTTAGCAGAGGATGAGATAATAGCTTAAACAGATCATTTATCTTCCAGAGAAGCTCTGTGCTTATCTCTTCCGGGTGATTCAGGGGTCAGGGAGGCAAGCTGCTGGTAAATCCTGTTTCACCGGATCCTCACGACAAGCTTGTGCCCATTTACAGATGGGGAAGCTAAGGCCAGAGCAACCATGGCAGGGGCTGGCACTTCAAGCCCCATCTTTGGTGTCCAGTTCCCCTCCCTTCCACCAGGCTTTCTTCCAGTGACACCTCTAACTACAAGGTTGCATCTTCATCAGGCCTTGGAAGGTGGCAGGTCCTTCACCAAGCCTGAGGGCCGACTCTGCAAGACAATGCCAATCCCACAGTGGCCCAGGAAGCAAGCAGTTGGCCCTGACAACATCTGCTCAGAGGCCACATTGTCATGTCCACAGGTGACCCACAGAAAATTATTGAAGTGGGAACGCCTGTGATTCACGCCTTTAGCCTGGAGGGTCTATGTAGGAGAGAAACACTTACAGAAAAGCTGGAAAAGTATCCCTGGGCAGAAAGAAAAGTCAGCACGATCCCAGAGACTAGAGAGCGCTGCTTGGAAGAGTTCAGTGAGTTTTCTTGTGTTTTAAAAACAGTATTTTATAGATGGAGAAACAAACTCGGAAAGATCAGATCATTTCTCAGGGGCAAACAGGCAACAGGCAGAGCTCAGCCAGCACAGTTGGAGGCTCACTGCTCACTGCGGTACCCTCCTGGGGACTGAGGTGAGTTGTATGGAGGCAAATGGGAAGTGGCGAGCCCCGGAACAGCTGCCAGCCAGCCTCTCAGGCTCCCTCTGCAGTAGAGGCGCCCACTGCTTGCAGCACTCTGCCTTTGGGGGAGGCTTCTCCTGTGGGATCTCCCAGGACCCTGTGCCAGGAGCTGGATTTCATTTGCCTCCACATCTGGGGCATGCACGCACACACACATGTATGTGTTTAAGCAGAGTGCATGCTTGTGGCACACATGGGATTTATGGAGCCCAGCAGAGGGAGCTGGATAGGACAGTCACCTGGGTCACTGGCATTCTGCTGGGGCCTTTCCTCGAGCCTCGGCCGTCTCAAAGCCTTTTTCTCCTGGCAAAACTGGCCAGATCCCACCAGAGAACAATATCAAGGTTTATAGTGGGGCAGCCACTAGGCCAGGCCACCTACCAAGTTAGTAGCTTTTCCTCCCCTCTCTGATGGGCGAGGAGGAGGTCAACTGAACCATTTTCCCACCCTGCCTATGGCCCTCAGCCTCCCACAGGCCAATGGAGTAGTTGCCTTTCCCCCAGCAACAGGGACTGTACTCTTGCAGAGTTAGCAGGGGTGCTCCACTCTTGTCTGTCTGTCTGTCTCTGTCTCTGTCTCTGTCTCTGTCTCTGTCTCTCTCTCTCCTCTCTCTCTCTCCCCTCTTGTATGTGTTTATGTATATGCACACATACATGTACATGTCTGTGAAGGTGCTTGTAAGGGAATGCTTATACACACATGTGCATGTGTGGAGGCTGGAGGCCAGTCTTGAGTGTTGTTCCTCAGGTGGCATCACCTTGTTTTTTGAGACCAGGTCTCTCACTGTGACCCAGAGCTCACAGATTTGCAAGGCTGGCTTGCAGCAGGTCCTGAAAATCCACCTGCCCATCCCTCTGTGATGTCAGAATTTCTAGCGAGCACCAGCTTTTCCGGCTTTTTATGTGGTCACTGGAGACAGAACTCGAATCCTCATGCTTGGGCAGCAGGCACTTCACCAACTGAACCATCTTCCCAGGCGGGTCCCTTTGCAGAGGTTTTAGGAGAAGAACTTGGAGGCGGTGAGGGGCCACTCAGGGAAGCATCTCCTCTAAAAAGGCCAAGCCACTGTGGGCTTAGGCCTTCCTGGTACACCCAGAAGCCTTCTGGTGTCACTCTGTGTGGGAGAGTCCCTTGTACACAAAACTGATCTCTCTGCATACTCTCACCCTCACGCACAACTCCATCTCTGGAGAAGTGCCCAGCCTGGTGAGATGGAACCCACTTGAGACATGAGCTCCTCGCTGCTGCCACTCTCCTGGGAAGTCTATGCCCCATACACACCTTGCAATGTAGGGGTGATAAGTGCACTCCAAACCAAGGCCCTCAGAGCATGTGGCATGCCGCTTCCTTCTGTGTAGGTTAAAGCAATCTCTTGCTGTCTCTGGGCTATGCCCTTCGGCCAGGTGGGTGATAATAGACACAGACCTTGAGCGCCAACCTCATCAGAAGCCTACTTTCACTCTGCCTTAGTTTCCTTGTCTGTTAAATGAGGCCGTTAAGTCCTTTGATGTCTACTGAGCACCCACCACACATTGCCAGAACTCAGATCTCCTACTACACACATCACACACACATGTACATACGTGTGTGAACACACACAGGTACACATATATACACATACACATGGGCACACATACATACACGTATTCATGTGCACATACACATACACAGATACACATACATGTGCACACACATACACTGGTATACACACATATACACAGGTACACATACACACCCCTACACATACACACCCCTGTCAGGATAGTTCCCTTTGCAGACGGTAATCACTTTACCTTCTGCTGATAGCACCCTAATGTTAACAGCTTATCTGTTTCACAGGAAGGCAAGTGTAATCTTGTCCACATATGAAGTAACTTGCCCTGGGGCCCACAGTTAGTTCCTGACAGGTTACACTCTCACCTTTGCCCCCGAAGCTACCCTGCCCAGTATGGTGGTCACTACATGTGGGCGCAGAGCAGTAAGGCGGGCTGAAGAGACCTGGGCATGGGAATGTGTTATCTTACCTGGCAAAATGGGTTTTGCAGAGACTGTTAAGTTAAACAACTTTTTTGAGAGAGTATCACGGACTACCCAGGGGTCCAAGGTCATCACCAAGGAGTTTATCAAAAGAATCAGAGGAGCCCAAGGCAGAGACGTTAAAAATAATGACAGAAACAGGAAGAGGTGACAACAGAAACTTCAGTTAGGTGGATGCACCTTGACGCGGCGAAAGAGGCCCCAAGTCTGTGTGCAGCACGAGGGACACCATTCCCTAGGGAGCGACTGTGAATGTCGCTGCAGGCTTCCAACCTCCAGGTCTGTAGGCGAGCATGGCTTTGAACCACTGCATTTGTGGTAATATGTTCCAGCAGCTACAGGAAGTGAACTCAGCCCTTGAATTGTGCCTGCACCCAGTTGAGAAGTGCTGAACCTACAACACAGACTTCACAGCGAAGAGAGAATGTTGCTTAGTTCACTGACGTTTTATGTGTGTGGCTGGCAGACTGAAGCAATTTCAACACTCTGGGTAGATTGGATTTCTAGGAAACCTAGAAACACATCCGTAGTCCATGTGAGCTTGACACCCAACCCTACTAGAAGACTTTTTCCATCGCCTTGGCCAGAAAGAACAGGCCCTCCCCTCCCCATGTGGCCTATGGCCAGTTATACTGAGCTGAAGATGGGGATCCCCCTACGCACACATCCCCTGCAGGTGGAGAGCCCTGGTGGTGAGTGTCCCCACTCCAGCTCCCCTACTCCCGTTTGTCTCCAGGCCAGCCTGATGTCCCTATAAGACGTGATGGCTATTTTTAGCTCTCATTGCCTCGGCACAGCTGGCTCTGAAGCTTTGCTGGGTGTAACCCAGCCCCAACTGCCATTTCCCTGCCAACAGGGGTCTTAGGAGGGGTCAGTTCAATAATTCTGGGGCCTTTCTGGGCCTATGAGCAAGCCCCCAGCCTCCCTGGCAAGGGTAAGGGCTGTAGTCCATGTTTTTGGATAGTGAAACTGAGGTTCCCATAGACTCAGAGGTGGTAGGGCTGGATCTTAGAAGGAAGCCATCTAACTGCAGCTTTCCTCAGAGCCTGACACTTGGCAGGGTGAAGCTGGAGGTCTGCCCACTCGGTGCCAGCTGCTTTAGGGTCTCACACAAGCTTCCCCAGGGGCAGAGGGGGGAGCGTTTTGTGCCTGGGAAAGTAATTTTGTTTTGATTTTTTTTTCAGTGATGGGGCTTGATCCCAGGGCCCCTGGTGTACTGAGTGTCTGCCCTACCACACCCTCAGCCCTAGAGAAAGATTCTAAGCAAGACATGAGCTAGCCAAGACATCTCACGGGCCCACAGGCAAATGTGCTCATGAGTGATCCTTTTCTGTAAAATGGAGTCACAGCGACAATGTGGTGGCTTACAGGCTTGGAGTAAACAGGTGAGGCAAACTAGTCTACATATAGTTCTCAGCCCCAGGCCTGGCTCTGGAAACAATGTAGTACAGCCGTTGTTGCTACCCCACCAGACCCTCCCAAGCACCAGTGTGTAGAACAGGATACTTGCAGCAAAATCATATGTTTGTTTATGTGCTGGGGATTGAATCCGGGGTCTCACGTGTGCTAAGTGCACACTCTACCACTGAGCTACTCCCCGCCGCCCAGCTTCTCGGTAGACATCCAGCAGCTGATAAAGCCATGGTACCTGTTTTTTAATCTACAGACTGATACCCAGGCTGTTTAAGGCATGTGCACAGGATTGCATGAAGAAGCTGTGAAGCAATGCAGGCTGCTACAGTGCCTTTGGCCAGCCCCATCTTAATGCCTTCCTCGGCACAGCACTGCCCACCCCAGGTTAAGCCTCAGCCTCCAGGTGACTGCCTCTTGCACATTACAGTATTCTCCGAAGCTGACAGTTTCACCTCTGCCCTGGTTAATTTGACCGAACAACCTGGTTCTCTTGCTGTTTCCAGCTTTTCAGTAATCATCAGGTGTGACCGGAAAGGGATTTTTGTGGATGTAATTACCACTTATAATTGGTCGGTTTAATTAAAGGATTATCCTGGTTGATCTGTTAGCAGGTGCTAGGAACGAAACTGAGGTTTACCTGAAGAAGAAAGTCATCTTGTGGGCGGGAGCGGCAGCTGGTCTTATTCACTGCCTGACCGGGTGGTACCTACTGGCCTCAGCAGACCCCGCAATCAAGCCAGTTCTTTGCAATAAATCAACCCAAATGATTCAGCCCAGAAGATTATTTTACCCCCACTCAATGTTATTTCTAAATGTGAATTTGTTTTTAAATGTATAAAATAAATCATAATTCAAAGTAAGGTCTAGTCTTACTTTATACTAAGTAAACTGGATTTCAACAAAGCCATTCAAATAATTATACTAAGGAGTCCTCTAGCTATTGCATAAACACAGCAGCAATCACATTCCCTAAAACCCTGGATGGTGGAAGCAGAGGGAAGCTTAACACTGGTGTCTGTGCTTTGTTTTCTTAAGGGGCCAGTTCCTAGCCTTATGCTTCTTGGTTACTGCTGGGCAACAGGGAGGAACATTATCAGGGCAGAGCAGATGAAGCACAAGGACTCCGATTGTGGAATCAGCACTGAATTAAGAGTCCTCCCTGGACTTGGGCCCCACCATACCCCTTGCTGTGCAACCTTGGAACTGTCACATTGCCTGCTCTGAACCCCACTTTGGTCCTGAGTCCCGAGGCAATCAGAATGCTCCGGCCTTTACAATGGGTATAAATGTCCTTGCCCATGGAAGACCCTAGGATGTTAGCTGAGGCGGGGGGCTGACAGAAGAGAGGGAAACTTTAAGGCTTCTTCTACTGAGCAGTTATTTGGAATTCATCCATTGCGTCCTCTTGACGCCTTCTGGGAGCCCTGCCCAAGGTTAATGCCAGCGCTCAGGGTGTGTGGATGGGTAGCAACACGTGAGTGGAATAAATACGCCTTACGGCAGCCAGAGGTGCACCAGCGGCTATGGGGCAGGAGGACTTAGCAGCAGCCCCTGGTGGCCAGAAACTTCTTCCAGGCAGCCAGGCCAGAGCCCAAGTGCTCCCAGGTCAGACCCCTCTTGGGAGGTGATCTGGAGACAAAGGGCCAGGTGACCCCGGAGGTAGCGAGTCCAAGGATCTGTTGCTCTGTTGAAGGGCTGTAACTTGAGCCTCCGCGGGGGGGCAGAGTGGAAAGGGAAGCCCTGAAATTCTATGCTGACTTTCCCTCTCCCTTTTCATCTCCATTTAAGGAAGTCTGCGGCTTTTAAATTCACACTTTTAATTACCAGATGACACCCAGGATAGGCCAAGGCTGAGAAGTTAAACATGTAAACTATGTTAAAAATGACTCCTAATTCCAGGGTCAAAGACTGGATGAAGTTGGTCACCTGCCTCAGGAAATTAGACAAAGGTAGTCTCAGAAGGGAATATTGGAAGTTGTGGAATTGGTTCAACTTGGAAAATGAAAATTTTGTGTCCACATGCCTGTCCATGTGCCCATGGGGGCAGGGTCCAATTTTTGACTTAATATTGACTTCAACCTGAATTTTTTTTAATTTCATATTCAGCCATTTAAGTGTTTAAATTTATATATATATATTTTTTTTTCAAAACCTTTAATTAAGTGGAGATTGCAGGGACATCAGAAGGCTGACATTCAGGACCCCCGAGTCAACTTTCACACCAGGGAAAATGTCTACCTTCTCCCTGTAGCTAGGGTCTTGTCATGGGATTGGGATCACAGAACGGACAGTGGTGACTGATCTGAACAACGAATAGGAAGCCACTGCTTAGCACCCACGTCTGCCAGGCAGGGTGCATGGTGGCCTCGCCTTATCAGAAACCTACTGCTGCTACCCATGGGTTGTTAGCTGAGCTAAGTGCCGATCATGTAGAGAGAGGGATTGTTGTGGAGGCATTCTGCATCAACCTGGAGCCTGCCACAAATAGATTCTCTCCACCCCGTGAAACCACGGAAGGGAGGCTTGGCACTCTGCGTGGGTTGGTGATTCCAGTGCTGGGGATCAGTGGTCAGCTGGCCTCGTCTATTTAGGGAACTCCAGATTCAGTGAGAGGCCCTGTCTCAAGGGAGATCGACGGCACTCCTGAGGATGACATCCAGGACTGTCCTCTGACCTCTGTGTATGCACACACAACATAGAAGTGCATAGATACAACATGAACACACACAAATACACATGTATACACATACATAAAAATAAAAAATGGGGCTCGAGAGACCGATCAGCTGTTAAGAGTATGTGCTGTTCTTGGAGAGAACTCAAATTTAGTTCTGAGAGCCCACAATGAGCAGCTCACGGCCACCTCTAACTCCAGCTCCAGGGGGATCAGACATCTCTGGTATCTCGGTCACTTGCATGAATGTGCACATTCACAGACGTGCACAGGCAGACACGGAGTTAAAAATAAAACAAATCTTAAAAAAAAGAATAAAATGTAAGAAGTTGACATCACGGAGGGAGCAGGGAAGCCTGCTGGAAACTGTCGGAGATTTTAAAAGATGAACACCGCCGAGGGCAAGGGTAGCCGAGGTGAGTGATGGGCAGACAGGAAGCACCTTTAGCCCCTCAGCATGCTGGGAGAGGAATGGGGCAGCCACTCCTAGGTAGAGCTAGCTCCCTGCTGTCATTGCTGTACCCCAAACTTGGTAAGCAGGTATCCAGACCCGGGGCAAGCAGTGGAGGGAATATGGGCGCCTGTGGCTTTCTCGCCAAGACTCCAGTTACTTACACAAAAAGCCGGCCTGCCTTTGGGCCTCACTCAGACACAAACCTCGTCATTACACGACTGAATGAAGGTCGTGTTTCAGGATGTGTTCATTTTTAAAAGAATCTCAGTTGCCTCTTATTAGGTGGTTGCCCTGTACAGGCAACTTCTTCTACACCCTCGCATCCAGTCCTCCCAACAACTCTGATGAAGCAGGTAATAATTGTTGTTATTATCGTTGTTGTTTATATTATTATTATCATCATCATCATCTGTATAGCTGGGGAAACTGAGGCGGAGATAGTATACCGTGGCTGTGGGCTCGGCCCCTGGGAAATGACAGCGCTATTGTCTATTATCTATAAGCCTCTGCTTTCCACGCCCTGGTTCCCTGCCTCCTCGGTCCTCCCCCTGCCCTCAGCCCCCAGACCCCCACCCCTCCCCCTCCCCCTCCCGACCCGTTTCCGGAGCACCTGTTCTGTGTGAAGTGCTGTAGTGATTCATTCTCATAGTCTCTTCTTTAATCATCTTTTCTTTTCTGGAGCTCTTACTGTTTGTCAGGCTCATTTATTTATAGCACGCTGTCTTCCAGAAGGCACTTCGTGTCCTTGGTGGAGAGGGATTACAGGCTCGACAGCTCGGCTGTGACCACGTGGAGAACGAAAGGCAGAGGGGCCAGAAGAGCCGGATGAGACACCAGCTCCCAGAACAGGCCTGCATTCTCTGGGGGAGGCCACAAATCGCCCGCGGAGCTTTCTAACCGACAAAGCTCGACCCGACACAGCGCACTCCTGGTGTCTACAGACTCCCACACACCGTTACTGAGGCCAAATAAAACTCTCAGGGGCCCTCAGACCAGGAGTCTAAGAGGACATGAGTAGTCATGTCCCCAAACAAGCTCCAGCTGGTACATGCTGCGCAAACCTCTGGGGACTGTTTCCTGAGTCCTGCTCTGTGCGGACCCACCGAGTAGGCTCTGTGGGTCGGTCGAGGCAGGCGCATCCCTTTCTAGTTTCAATCTGCAGGCGGTCAGAGCACACTTTTGTAGGAAATGATAAGGGGCTTGTTATTAGCCTGAACTTTGTTTGGAATTGTTTGAATTAATTGTCAACTTTAAGAAGTTAGAATGTTTCACTGGATAGTGGCAGCTCACACCTTTAATCCCAGCAGTCAGGAGGCAGAAGCAGGCAGCTTGAGGCCAGCCTGGTCTACAGAACGAGTTCCGGGACAACCAGGGCTACACAGAGAAACCCTATTTCAAAAAGTCAAAATTGAAACCTAAACAAAAAAGTTAGGATTTTTCCCACATGCACACAGAAATACAGATTGTTGCCAATCTCTTTTAGGAGGAGAAATTTGACAACCAGAAGCCTGTATTCTCAAAGCACAAGAATTGGATATAGCCGCATTTTCCATCTCTCCAAGGTTCTGTGACTGTCCTATTGGCCTCTAATGCCACTCCCCAGCTCCACAAGTTACCTGGAGTCTGCAGCCAGGTCTTAGGATGTCGTGTGTATCTGACCCAGTACCCAGTGCCCCAGGTCAGGCTCCTGGGACCGGAGTGGCAGGAGGGTGTACTGGCTTTCTTCTTGCTTCTGGCTGTGACAGGACAGACCAGGAGAGGCTGGGCAGCATTTAGACAAGCGCATAGCACTGCCTGTCCAGGCAAATGGGCTTCAGAGGTTGTGAGATGTCCGGGCCATAGGTCCTATAAATGGCTGTGTCATCCCTGTCACATGTTGCCAGTGCCCTTCTTCGTGAATGCACAGGAGAACAACCTAGAGGAAGTTCTTCAACACACAGTCTCCGACCCCATTCCTAGGCCATACCCTTGACCAGCTCAACAGAAAGCTGTGTTGGGGTACATTGAGCCGGGCACCCCCATACAAGCAGTCTGTTAGGAGAAATGAGATGGGCGGAGAACTAAGGCACCCTGGCGGGATGCACAGGCTGGGGGGAATCGAACACTGCCTGTTGGATCCTAACCACAGGAGAGGCTGGGGCTGTCTGGGAAGTGAATATCCAGACATGAAGAAGGGGGCAGGATGTCCCAGCCAAGGTGGGGTGAAATCCAAGATTCTGAGTGGAAATTGAGGACACAGCTGGATTGAGGGTGGGCAAGAGAGTATGGGAAGACACAGAGACAGTCAGGTCTATGTTCTGCAAAGCTGGATGCAGTGGCACAATGCCTATAATCCCAGCACTGGGGAGGTGAAGCCAAGGCTGTGACTTTGAAGCCAGCTACAGTCGGAAGGCTCCTCTGGATTCTTTGATGAGACAGAGTTACCAAAGAGGACTCTGGAAAGGAATCAAGCCTGAGACCAGGAACAGATAGGGGCAGAAAATGAGGGTCCTCGTCAGCCTCTTCAGTTAACGCTACAAAGCTGCTTCCCTCCTCGGTCCACGCCCTTTCAAACAGTCTGAATCACAGACCGTCTGTGTAAAGGATGTGTTTATCTGCTCTTTGAAAGCTGTGGTCTCTCTTTACCAGCTCCTGGGCCCCATCCTTCAGTTAGCCCAGACACCGAGAAGGAGTGAAGGAGGATCCTCTTGCTAATGAGTGCAGTCCAGGGGCCTCAGCGTGGCCTGTGGCGT